TTTAAAAACACCAGCATTTAGTAAATTTTCTTTACTGTTTTTTTTTTAATTTTTCTCAAATATTAGAAATTAGTATGAATTTAAAAAGAAGAACCCAGGAGCAAAATTGTTGATCTCCTAAAATTGAAAAAAAAAACTACATTAAACATTGTATTAGAACAACTACAAAGGTAATAAGTCGTTGGTAATTATTGAAAATAAAGCATCATTGGTTAACAAATATTTTATCCCTAAAAAAATATTTCTTTCCAAAAAAACTTCCACAACATTATTTTTGCTCCTATAAACAAGTAGGAGCAAAAATTTTGTAGGTGTAATATTAGATGTTTTGTTTTACGAAAAGGGTTTCCCGGCCAAAAACGTCCATTCTGTGAGGAAAGGACTATCAGAGGGCCTTTAGGCCCAACAATTGTTCTTTTTCTCACAAATACTTTTAGGCCTATCCCTATTTAAAACATTTACCATATTGTGTTCATAATGTATTCTCTCAGAACTTTTTCTCATCCATTGTACTAAGAAAGCATTGTCTACTTCTTGGACTGTCTCAGGTAAAGGTTGTTTATAATCAAAAGATTCTTATACTTGTAATTGTTAATTTAGCGAACAATTAAAGATAAGTACATTTTTTAAATAACTGACTAAATAATATTTTATCACAAGGCATGAGATCCCAATGCCTTTAGCTGTGATTGTGCATATTAAAAGTATGCTTATTCCGAAGGAGGAAGATTATTTTTATAAAACAAATTAGATATAAAGAGCAATGCATGTGTATTCTCAAGTGATATTTTGAATCTGGAGCCTAGGATTGTCAAAAAAATTAAGTTTTTACTGAAGAGTGTGTTTAAATATTTTACATTTTGGAACGCTAAGTAAATATAAGCTTTCAGTATTGAAAGATGTAACAACTGTTTTTCTGGTTTTTAAATAAATTTTAAAAAAAAAAAAAATAGCTAAAATTTTTGCTCTTTTTCAACGAATACACGTTGAGAATTTTTTGATGCAAAATTTTTTTTTGTCACGAATCTTCGAAATTGTTTTTACAATCATTTTCCTGATCTTACCATGAAAAAAATATTTGAATGCGTTTTCAAGTAGCAAAGTCCATTTGCAAGGAGGCAATCGACCATTGCACGATTATTTTAAATTACCATCTTCCGACCGACAAAAATTATTCACACAGCGCTGACCACGTGGACACGTAGATTGACCCAAAATCTATAAAATTATAAACGGTACCTCATTATCATAAAAAAATTACACAATATGAAACTTATAAAAGATAAAACTTAGTGAATAAGTCATTTTATAGGTCATTTGTTTCTGCACATGTTGACAACGGGACTATAACAGGAAATCAAGCCTTTTTTATTACTTTTACACATGGTATCCCGGAGATTTGTTGTCGTTGTCCAAAGACACTAACAGTGGCCCCCAAAGAACAAGGCGATAACCAAATACCACATTTTAAAAGAGATTTATAAGGATGAAGTACAAAAAAATATAATAGATAACTTATTATGAACATTATAATTCATTCCGTCTATTACAATGATTGTTAGTTAAGGCTAAGGTATGGGCGATTCCGATGCAAATGAGCAAACTGAAACAATTTTAAAGAGGTGTGTCATACAAAGAGGCTTTTAGTTCCGTCTGTAATACATGTATATGCAGTGTGCATGCCATGTTATAGCCCATGTACAAGTTTTTGACGATATTGTTTTTTACCAATTTAAATAAAGAACAAAAAAAAAAAAACATCGGCTCCAGGGTAAATTTTCTTTACCACCCCATCATGGTTTTTATTTACCCAAGTGACCTGATAGTTCAACGAAATATTGATTTTTTGTATGTTGTTCTACGCTGTTGAGAAATGATTTTTTAATCACATTTTTTTTTCTGTCGTGCGTCACATTCGGTGTTGTTTGTAAATCTTAACATTTTGACTTCTTCTCCAGAACCACATGGCTGATTTCAACCAAACTAACCACAAACGATCCTTGTGTAGGGGAATTCAAGTTGTTTAAATGAACGGCCACACCCTGTTTTAATGGGAATTTTTAAGTATTAGTGAAAATATGGTGACATTTAAAAAAAAAAATGTTTTATTTTCTTTCTTTATGTAACAACTTTACAATATGTGAAAATGAGAAAAATTTAAATGTAAGAAGCATATAAAAATAACTAATATATCCTTTTTAAAAAAAGAAAAGAAAATTCGGATTAGCAAATATCCTTTTTAGTTACATTATTTATGTCATTTTGGTTATATTATCTTATGGCCCTTTATGGTAGTATCTTTTAATTGAAAAAAAAAAACATTCAATCTTTTGAAAAAAAGAAGGGATCGCATAATTGGCAACAGTAATTATTGTATTCTTAATATCCAGGAAAAAGGTAATGACCTTGTCCTGAGCTTGCCTCTAATATTAGTATAAAACGGTCAAATTCAATCTCACTGATGCCATCACTTAGTGATATTGTCTTCTTGATTATGTGAAAATTTCTTTAATTTTTTAATACAAGAAATATGCATATACAGGGAGTTTCATAATATATGCTACATTTTTAGAATTAAATATCTTCTTTGTTCATTTTTAATACAATAATGTTCTCTTATATTATTGAGAAAAATATTTTTTTAAGAAAAAATATTTTAACTAAAAATATTGGATTCATGACATACACTAAAAGTGGAATTTAACATTTAGTAAAGTGTAATTTAAATTACATTTTATCAAATGACAATACACCCTGCTTTCTAATGATACATGCAATTTTATATACCCCCCCATTTTTTTATATGTTTTCTATTGTCTTCGGAAGTTTAAAATTATTATAAAAATGAAAGTATTTAAGCTACATGTATGGATTACCCAGGGATTTTAAAACTGCATAGTATTTTTCTGAAACACGGGATTTTTTTCCATCTGCTTTGTTTTAAACGATCAAATTTTTAAAAAAAAAGAAGAAAAATTTATTTGGGAAACATTCCATTTCAAAGAAGGGGGATTTTTGCTCAATAAAAACACGTAAGTTAAAAAGGGAATTTTTTATTGGCCCTCCACGTTCATCCCTCTGCCAATTCTTTTGAAATAAGGACGCGGCAATATTCGACGAGTTATACAAATATCCAGAAAGACTATACAATGTAGTTTTAAGATTTTTCATTAATACTAAACAAGATTGCCACTTTTCCTAAGCATTAAGAATAAAATTAAAATTTGTATAAATGCAAGGATGTGTCATTCAAACTCGTCCAGAAATTTTAAGTTTAAATAACTTTTAGATGAAATAAGATTTTAATTATATTTTCGTCTAAAATGCTTTGCAATATAAAAGTCGTGATATTTATAGAAAATCTGAGAAAATAATTTCAAATCTGTGTCTATGCACCTTTAATACAAAAGGAAAAGATCGAATATTGCAATGGTTGACATTTATAAGTCAACCTGTAAAGCTCTTTTTGTTGTATTAAATATGCATAGGATAATTTTAAATAGTTATTTGAATTCATTTGATCAGCAAATACATTTTCAATAATAATTTGTTAATTAAAAAAATTACTTGTACTTTTTTGAATTTAAAACGTCACTTTCTCTCAATAATCCTATTGAAACAAAGGTGAATCAATTACGATCAAGCAAGTTAAAAATTTAAAACAGAGACTAAATTCGTTAACTTTGGCAATTTCGTTTTTAAACGTTTTATAATGTGGCATTTCCCATGAAGAATAAATTGGAGAAATTATTAATATTTCTAAAGCATGTAGGTTTTTTTTTTTAATTTGGTCGGGTGTTTTCCCAAAAAAATGTATTTCCCTTTCCCTTTAGAACAAAATTTCTGCAAATGATGTCTTTTTATACTAATAAACGGACTCTAAATAAGATATATCCCTACCTTGACAAAAAATGGTGCTGTCAGTCACTAAAAAGAAAAAATATTTATATAGTAAGTACGTAATGTTAAAACGTTACCTTTTTGTAATAGATTCCACTATGTTTCACATACTGAGAAATTTCTGTCTTTTATACCTTATTCGATCTGCAAATACTAAAACGACCTTTGAATTAGTTTTGATACATCATGAGTTCCACTTGCAGGTTTGACATATTACATAATCAACATGCTGATCTACAAAAATTTTCCCAAAATTTAAATTTTGGGAAAATTTCCTTTTTAATAATCCATGTAATGTCTAAACTCTTCTTTTAAAACTACTCCTGTTCTTGATTTATGGGTCATAGGAAAATATTTTAAATATCTTCGTTTTGATTTTTTTTTTTTTGTTTTATTATTTGTCATATCTTTAAAAAGATCTTCTTTTTTTTTTTAGGGAGCATTGAGAATTAAATAGAGTATTAATAAGTAACAGAAATAGCCAGATGTTTCTCATTTATAATTATATATTTGGAGTGTCTGAATGTGTGATTCTTATCTAATTTATTGCACTATTCTCTTAAAATATCATATTTATTATAAAGAACTGAATCTGGTTATTTTAGTTAAAAATATAGAAGTGTAGACTATAGCCTCTGTTCTTGTTCACAATAAAACAATTTAAAATGTTCCCTGACTTTGCAGACCCAACACGGTAGCGCTAGCGTAGTGGTAAGAGTTGATACGGATGGCTGAGTTCGATTCGTCGCCTTTGCCGCGCCGCATTAAACCCAAATATAAACATATGTAGATGTTGTAGTGACCGTTCCTTTGCCTAGCGCTGACAGTTAAAAGTTGCATAATGATCAAAATCATGTGTTTCTTTTAAGATGTATCATACAACAAAAGATTTATGAAAAATATGAGTACCACCGAAGATATGACAACTAAACTGCACTGTAAAGCAAGAAAAGCTGCGCAATTAAATTGGAAAAACAAAGGTTGTATCTACCGTTTCGTTGTTTGTGTGTATGTCAAGGCCACGCCACTTTTATTTTTTAGCTCAAACTTGTAAACAACATTCAACGGGAGCATGCAGAGGTAAAAATTTCATCAAATACGTTAAAACAACCATTTTGTAAAAAAAAAATTGTATCAAATTTCTTGGTCTACCTACATTTATTATAGGTACTTGAGACCATGTTAACCATGCTAAATTATTTAACTTTTCTGCGCACGCGTACAATAGGGGGGAAAATTTTAAAAACAATATTTTCTTTATGGGGCATACTGAAATTATTTTTACTTAATATATTTTTCTTCATAAAAATAGATTTTTTTATGTTCTGAAACCTGTAATTTTCTAAAACCCTAATGCTTTCAGGAACTGAACAAAATTAACACGGGTATCAAAAATTCTGCGTTTGTATTTTCACATTTGTGCGTCGGGGTGTTTTTAAAAAAGAAAGAAAAAAAAACATTATTTGCATTTTAAAGTCTGTAAAATTAGCAACGCTTTAAATAAGAATTATAAATTTTTGGTTTAGTTTAGTTTTGTACCGTTTCATTAAATTTTTACCAAAACCTATTGGGAGGAGTAAAGTTTAATAGAGTTTTAAAGTCTCCTTTTTTTAAACACTGCAATAGTGCTCAAATAAATGATAACCCAATACCTAAAACGATATATTCTAGTAAAGTCTAGCTTTATACCTCTGTTCTCCTTTACCTAAATCAATGTAAGATTTTCCACGACTTCAGAGACTAAGCACGGTAGCCTAGTTGTGGGTGTTTTCCTGGATGGCTGTGTTCGATTCTCCTTTTCTGCGCCCCATTAAACCTCAGATCAGATGTAACTTACTTGTAAGTAGTTACTGTTTTTTTGTCACGTGCATGACAGTGGAATTGATAATTAGACCTATTTGTCATTCCGGTGAGACCTTAAAAACCGAGATTTCGTGTCACGAGGCGTTATTCAAAACGATAAAGAAGCTTGATATGTTATGACATTGAGTACCGAAGGTAAGATTAGTAAATAACTTTAGACTAATTTTTTGATGCTAGATACATTATGACGTCATAATCAATTTCAACTTTCCTTTTCCCGTATTTTACGGCTTTAGCAAAATTATGTAGAAAATAGGTTATTTTCATGACATTCATTTTAAAATCATATGAAAAGAAAACCGGATACCTATATTAAATTTTATATTGATTTAAAAAAGGCCATGAACATACTAATTACCGTTTTCTGGGGACTGTAGGCAATCTGGATACATTTCCTTTTTAATATAAAAAAACTCCCAAATTCATGACTGATTTTTTAATTTTTCATTGAAAATGACATTTTAAAATACTTTTCATCATGTTTACCTACAAATTATCCCCCAAAAACCCTTATTTGACCAAGCTAAATTTTAAAGCATCAATAAATGAATTAATTTCTCAAGTTTGATAAAACTGTAGGCACCTTTCATTTACTGATCTTGACCTTAAGCAATACTTAATGGGCCCTTTTTATGTACCATTTTACTTTAGAATTTATTACCAAATCGTTCTCTT